AAAAGGCCTAATCTGTGCCAAGGATACGGGTCCTAAGGAATAGAGAGGTGGTGTAAGTCCTAATCTGGGCCTTGAACCCGTATCTGTGACGAACATTGAAGGCAGAACTTGGTTCTTTTACGCCAGAATTATTTCTAGGATGCAACTAGAAAATGTCAGTATTATTAGAATCATAGAATGCATAATCAACAAAATATGGTTAGAAAAAATTTACTTAGGAAAAGTAAATTTAATACTCAGAAAAAATACAATTCTTTTATGAGTGTTTGTGGGTATGAAGACTGTGGAACACACTAATTTTCAGAGCTTAGATTTGGCTGGACCTAAGCTCTGAAAGTTGATGCTCAATCTAAGCTCTGAAAATTAGTGTTTCACAGGCTGAAAAGAGATATGAGCATTTGGGTGAAGAGGTATATCTTGCAGTCATCAACTTCCAAATAATCACTCAGATTATGTCATATCACATTGCAATCATGTTCATATGGGACGCTGGACCTATTTTCCAGCAAGTGAAGCTCCCCATTAATAGATGGAGCGACCGAAAATAGTTTCTACTGGTAGGGGAGGATGCTCCTATCACTTCTACCGTCTTCACCCGAATAGAATGCCCCTGCCCGGTAATTATTGCTGTATCTGGACTGAAAATTGCACGAAATACAGCTATAATGACCCCGGGCGTTCTATGCGTGTGAAGACGGGTAGGGCTGGCTTGGTCTTAACCCACCACTACCTTTGCCAGTGTTGGAATAAATGGGAGGGAAAATAGCCTACACCGAAAAGTTCGGAGGTCCCGAGGAGGGGAGAACCCCCCCCCCCCCCCCCCGCGCCCCTTCCGAAGAACTTCGGATTAGGAGAGGATGCTCATATCACTTGTCTTATTTGCTACTATAAAACAAGGATTCTATCCTTTATTCTTTTTGGAGGAATTTTATACTAGAGTTTTTATTCACATGAATAATAACCATATACTGAACATAGGAAATATAAAGCAATAATCGAGATAATGCATCAAATGCGGGATTCGTTTTTTCTCATCTTTTTTTTTACTGGAATGTTTGTCCCCTGCCCCCCCCCCTCCTCTTCAGAACCTCGGATTAGGAGAGGATGCTCCATATCACTTGTCTTATTTGGTACTATAATAATCGAGATAATGCATCAAATGCGGGATTCGTTTTTTCTCATCTTTTTTGTTACTGGAATGCTTGTTTGGCTGGCGGCGGTGTTAGGTGTCCCCGAACCCCTCCACAGAGAACTGGGGCAAGCCGATTGGGACAGCATAGACAAAGGGCACTTCGATGAATGGTGGCCAAGGGTGCTATCCCGACATGATCACGCCAAGCCGCGACATCCTCCTCCTCCTCCTCCCCCTCCGACAGAATCAAGTACGTCGCCGCCGTCCTCAGATGCAACCCCGTCGGTAGAGGTATCCAGTGAAGCTTCTGTGAGTGCCAGCGCTCCATCGTCATTTTATGAAGCATCTTTATCGTTGTCGTCAGCACCGGCGTCGGATGAGGAACTGGAATCCGCACCCGCCTCTGGTTCGGTCGAAGAATCTTCAGTATCACCAAGTACATCGTCAAAGGCACTGTCAGTCGAAGATTCATCATCATCATCATCATCATCTCCTCCGGCAGTCGAGAGTGAAGATGAGGCAGAGCCGTCCGATAGTTCAGATGAAACATCTACAAAGTCTGGAGAGCCGAGTGGAACTTCTTCAGATTACGATGATGGGGGTTCGCCGGATGAACAGGCAACGCCCAATCAGGCGATGGAGAAGACACATGAAGCAAGAACCGCAGGTATGGGGCCGTCAGCACTTTACCTCTATCAGATGAGACACTTTACCTCTGTCAGATGAGATGAGATGAGATGAGATGAGATGAGATGTAGTACTTGTGTGACTACCCTTTTTCGCCCGAATACTCCGTACCTTCATCATAGCTGAATTTGGGGTATCTTTCAGACTGAATACTGCTATAATGGCTGGTGTGTTGTATTCGGTGGAAGAAGGGTACTGTTGGATGTGCGTTGTAATGTTGAAAAGTTATTTATTTTCTGAAATCGGAAAAAAAAAACGTTTGCTGGAGGTCAGGCATGGCAAGAACTGATGTCATTTTAGTTATTAGAAAAAAAAAAAAACCGGGTGACTAGTTCTCACAGTCCAGCGTGAACGAGGGAGTGGCGCGTGCTGAGAAAGAGAAGGGAAGAGAAGAAGATACCGAGGAACAAGCTTAATGTGTGAATTGTGTCTGAAAATGATGACATGCATATCCCGTGTGATGAGTTTGTGTGTGTGCGTGTGTGAGTGTGCGGGCGTGGGTGGCGGTGGGTGGTTAAGTGTGCATGGGTGAACGTGGGTGTGAATGGGGGTGGGTGTGGGGGCTGTCTCTTATACACATCTAGATGTGTATAAGAGACAGGTCCCACACCCGTCACACTAATCCACATACATGG